TGAGATTGTTCTGTAGTTTCCACATTCTGTTGGGTCACCTTCCTTTGGGATAGGAGTAAAGATACTAATATTTCGTACATAGGTGAAGAAATATACCTAAAAATTAAAGTACTTTAAAAATTAAAAAAAAGAGGTTAAAGTTTAAAATAAGTAAGGAAAAGAATGTTATGGCATATTTTGTCCCCTTGTTTAAATGAAAAGTAGGAGACATTATTATTAAAAATAATCTTGATAGGGAGCTCTGGTGGCCTAGTGGCAAGAAGCGGCACTGCAATCCTGAAGGCTCACGGTTTGAATTCACCAAATGCTTCACTGGAGAAGGAAGGCAATCTCCTCCTGTGCCAGCTGGATCCGATTTGAGGGCACACAACAAGTTAAAAAAAAATTAATCTTGATAACTAAAAATTTTATTGCATCTGATTAAGCTTTAAAAAAAATTTTTTTTACAGGAAAAAGAATTATTTTAATACCAGATCCCATCAACTTGACAAGAAATTTTAAAAATATACCTGCTTTATTTCTCTATATTTTCTTCGTGCTGCTTTCATGAATGTTTCTGCTCACAGGCATTAACTGGGTAGGTTTCTATGTGTAACATAAGTGTGTGTGCAACATACTAAGAAGACAGCATGGAAAAAAATGATAGTCTCTTTTCACAAAACTTTCATAGTATGATTAATACACATTCAATATTTACTACATTTAATCCAGATTGTTAACACATAAGAATATAACAGAAAAACTATAAAAAGGAGGAAGATGCGTAACTTTAGGAGTAGTAAGGGACTCACATTGTACTAAAAAGCCTAAACAGTAACAACAAAATAAACAAACAAAAAAGAATAAAACTTGAACTAGGGATTCTATTATTGGAAAAGGGGGAAGTGAGATTATAGACCACACACAACCAAATCTGAATTAAAAGTATTAAGCATTCAGAGAAGTAGAGGTGGGAAGAGTTGCAGAGAAAGAAACTACAGCCCTGACTGGAGAACGGAGGGCAGCCTTTTTGACAAGCTGTAAAGAAGTGATGGTACTAAATAAGACAACACAAGCATAATTTCCACGGTGCCCCTAACTGTATGGCAATCTTTATATTGTGGTCAGGTCCCAGACTCCATTCTCCTTAAGAGTAAAGTAAAAGTGGAACAACTCTGTCTCCAAAAAGACTCTTTAGTGCTGTAATTCTGAGGCACGTTTTAAAAGGTCCAGTTGCCTATTTAAAAAAAAAATCAAGCAAAAGCTATCTTTTATATTCCCCCCCCCCATTCTATAAGAATAGTTTTTAATCTGGGCACGAACACAAATAATTTGATAATTTCTGCATTCTGAATTATAAAAACAAGTTCTAAGCAATGCTGATGTAGGAAACTTACTAAATTCAGGGCTTACTGTTATAAATTGTTCTGATCATGTGGAGATACCTAACAGAACATGTTCCACCGAACTGGCTGCAGCAACGGAGCTGTCTGGTGACTAAGGAAAGTCATGCAGTTATAAAGGAAAATGTCCACAGTCCTGTACAGGCTTACTTCACTCTCTTCTAAAGCTTCTGACTCATTTTACTCACTTTCATTTCTTACTCCATTTATAAATGGGCCTGGGATGATGAATCTACGTTGTGTGGTATAGAATTATTATGCAAGCTTCCCCCACTACTCATCATGTCTGCTTCTCTGAATTTAGTAACTTACCGCCCGGGCTGAGTCACCGAAGTCTATCTTCAACCTCCCCATGGCCCTAATGATAGCAATAATTGACTGGATGGTATTGCTGTAGACTACTGCTTTATACTGCTTGCATTCCTCTTCCGAATAACCAGCCTCATGGATAATTCTAAAAAGAGAAAAATAAAGACATTTACTTCCTCTGATGGAATAACGTATTTCAGTCACATAAAAACCCATTTTAATGCTATGTTTACTTACTTCATTTGCTTTACAATTGTACTTTTCCCAGATTCACCGGCACCTGGAAACAAAATAAAATAGATTTTTAACATCATTACTTAATTATATCAAATTTCTCTCTCAAAACACACACACACACTCAACCACAGACACTCCTCCACATTGACAGATTTTGTTTAATAGCAAAGCAAACTTTAATGGTGTTAAACATAAAGCTTTTTATAAAGAATTTTAAGCATAAAAAATCAGTATTATTTGCTGTGAAAAACAATTTCATAGTATGTAATTTCAATAAACACAACTGAAAACAAATGCTTTCTTCACTTTTTATGTATTCCCTAAAGCATTACAAAAATCCAGTATCTTATGACATAAAACTGAGTGTACATAGTTTTATTCCAGCTTCTACACCATATTGTAAGATTGCTTAGTCAATTAAAACTTGGCCTCTGAATCTTAGAACACAGAAGGTACTTTATTAAGAATTCTTTTAAAATATTATATATGAAAATAGCTTACACGTATTAATACACTTTCAAATAAAATAATGTATAATATTCAGTCTATACCACCATTTATTTAACATCTCATACACAGTCAACACCACTGGTTAGCATTGGGGATACAATGGCATGCTTGACAGAAAAGTTTTCTCTTGAGTTTTTCCCCCTTCATTATCACCTAAGCCATAAACCTAGAAGCTGTTCTCAAAATGCCTCTTTCATTTTGCACATATGCAAGGTTATGCCATCCTAGCATGAAAAGCAGCAGCTCTGGTGGTTCAATGGCTGCTGACCAAAGAGGTAAACCCACTGAGAGGCTCTGCAGGCGGACCATATGACCATCTGCTTTTATAATGATCCTAGCCAAGAAAATCCTCTGGGGCAGTTCTACTCTGACACAAGGGGTCACTATGAGTTAGAATCAACTTTACGGCACCCAACAACAACAACATGAAACTTTACTAATCAAAAAAGTTCTTACATAATTGATTTTAAAAAACCAAACTGTCATTGGGTCTGTTCCAATTCCAAGCAATCTTCCACTCAGTTTTCAACTAAATCCTACTGAAAGAAATTGCTTACTTCTCTCCCATGGAACCACACTTCACATCTTTTGGTTAGAAGCACAACATGCTGCAGACTACACCACCAGAGTTTCTTTACTTCTACAGTAACTCAACTCTCAACACAGCTCATTGTTGTTGAGTCAGAATTGACCTAGAGTTGATCCTCCAGTGGGTTTTCAGAGGCTGTAAGTCACAAGGGGAGGAAAATGTCCATCTTTCTCCTGAGGAACAGATGGTGGTTTTGAACTGTCTATCTATGAACTGGCAGTGCAAATATCTATCTCCTAGGCCACCAGAGCTCCTAATATATATATTAGGTCCCTCTTAAATATCTTTCCCATTTAAGAACAGCTTTGATCTTAGAGTCAAATTGCAAAGTTTTTTTACAGTCTTCTCTTACTTGTTGGATATTGTGAACATTTGAGAGTAAAACCCAAAACAGTGCAGTTATGACAAGTCTATTATTGACTTCATCTCTTTTGTAGCTCTCATAGACTAGTGGATAGGAGTTGCACTGCTAAGTCAAAGACAAGTGGTTCAAATCTATCCGTTTCCTCTGGAGAAAAAGATGAACCATCTCCTCCTATGTGATTTGTTGTTGTGTAATATTGAGTTGAAACTGATACATAGTGGACCCTCCAGTGGGTTTTCAGAGGCAGTTAATCACATGGGAGGTGATTGTCCATCATTCTCCTGCTGAGCAGCTGGGTGATTTGAACTATGTGCCTTTGGGATTGCAGTGCAGATTCTTACCACTAGGTACCGAGGCAATATGAAACCCGCTGGAGGGTCAGCTATGAGTCAGTTCCAACTCAACAGCAATGAGTGAATGAATAACAGTACCTGGAAGGATTTAGTCCTGTTTAAGCATCAGTGACAAGATTTTATTACCCAGCCCCCAAATTCCCATTTCCCCAGGGTCATCCACTGTGCTCCAACACTGCTGGACCATCTGCACTTCCAAGACCACACCACAAACCCTCAAACATACCAATTCCCTTGCCAAATAAGGTTTCACTCCCAAAATACTATTTTGTTCTTCTTTCTCTTATAAGCTTAGCGAGTAAGCCTATGGCTTGATCAGTTTTTTTCATCTATGGGCCCTGTTGTCTCTCATTCTACACATATTTCTTTTTTCACTCTCATCAGCTACTTTGTTAAGCATCTAAAAAAATGTTGTTTGAATTTATGCCTACTATCTGTGACTGATAAAAATCAGGCTGGAAATTTCGGAACCCTCTCTCTTCATTCTTCCATACCTACCTAGAGAAACATACATGTACACATACACACACATCATGAGAAGTGTCTGAAATCTGAGGAAATGTCACATGAGTAAATGACCTATTGAAATCTGGGGTGAAGGAGCTTCCTAAATCTTATTTGTGATTTAATATTCTGCAACTTTTCCTAAGACACTGTCTTGAAAAGCAGGAATTGAATAAACAGTGAGGGCGTTCTTCATTTACAGACAGCTTCTGAATCTTTCAGGGCATCTGCCAATATAAACAATTCCAAGATAAGCACTACATTATTTATTAATCAACAACACTGTACTTGGCTCTGTGAAAAGCCCAAAGGCCAGCATTATAACTTACACGTTTGTCTAAGTCAGGAACTCTCACTCGAGTAACATGCCCTAGGCGGTTCCTAGTAGGGCTGTCTTTAAAAGTGTTCCCTGGGTTTTTAGACTACTGAGAGCTGACTCAGCAGCTGTCAAACTGTAATCGTGAGATGCTGTAGTTTCATTCCAGAGGGAGTGAATCTACTAACATAGTGCACTTCAACCCATTCTGGTAGTGAAGCAACTCAAAGGCCCAAAGAAAAGTTCAAGTTTTACAAATGGGGGAGGTCTTAGAGCTAAGGAGTTGTGTTTTGGTTTTTTTTAAAAAAATAAATAAAAATCAGAAATAGAAAAGATTATTATCAAGCGGATGATATGTACAATGGTTAAGAATTGTTTAAAACTTCAACAAAAGATTAAAATTCTCCTGATGTGAATCTGTCCTTTACTTTATGTCCTTTAATTGAACTGGTGATATGGAACACTAGTTTACTTTGCAATATGTCAGTTGGTGATTTTTTTTTGGTTCAAAATTCTTGAAATCTTTTTAAGACTGGAGAGTGAAGACAGCTGTCACACTGACTGGTTTCTACCTAATTTCTTCACTAGTAACGCTTTTCTCTTTGTGTAACAAATATCAAGAGGCAGAAATACTAAGAAAGGAACATCCAACCAAATAGAAAACATTTAAAGCTTAACATTTCATGTAATTTAAATTCTTTTCCTATCTCTGAGAAGTAAAGCTACAAACAACATGGAGGTCTCAATATTTTAAACACTACTGTTCCGGGGTTAAATATTGGTTTTAAGGAGTTAAAAGCTTTTCCTCTAGTAATTACAGTCGGTGAAGTCACACACTGGGTTGGTAGAAGTGTCAGAAAAAGCAAGAGAAATAAAGGAGGAGGGAGGCAAGAAAGGGCTATTTTCTTAGTGATTAGTGAAGCAAAGGAATCCTAGTGGCACACTGTTTAAGTGCTTGGCTGCAAACCCAAAGACTGAGAGCCTGAACTCACCAATCTCCTTATGGGAGAAAGATATAGCCATCTGCTTCAAGCAAAGATTTACAGGCACCGAAAATTTCTGGTGCAGTTCTGTCACATCCTATAGGGTTGCTATGAGTCAGAAAGAACTCAAAGGCAATGGGTAATGAATAACCCAGCTGAGCAGCTGTTGTTTTGCACTTCAATCAAGCAGCAGGCACAATTAAAATCTACTCCTACCTTACCAACAGCAACTTCAATATAAAGTAAGAAAGATCAAAGCATGTAGCCACACTGGTCACACCCACCAGAGCTGTCAGAGTGCCAAGATGGGCCCTGTGAACACAAGGACACTTTAGAGAAGGGGTAAGGAAGCACATGACAGCCAGCAAGCCATGAGTCTGTGCAGCATGGAGTTGGGCAGCTACAAAACTGAAGGCAAGATAACCAAGGACGAGTCCTCAGACTTTTAGGACAAAGTGGCAAAAGGAAAACTCTGTTCAATCATAGAGCACAGTAACTGTGTGAAGAGAGCTCACTATGCAGCATGAAAATGCTGGAAGGGCCAAGGCGCGCTGAGCTCCGTAACACTGACAGGACACTCCTTCACGGTGGTGGGTGAGGCAGCAGTCTGCTAATGGAATACATGAAAGGGAAATGCAGAACCAAGTTTTCACGTCCATCGAGTCAATTCCCACAGATTTCAATCCTGCAAATCTTAATGAGGAGAGACTGGCCACCTTGATCCTGCAGAGCCACTGTGGATCACAACTGTTCAGAGATGCAAGTCTTTCCTGGTTGGCAAAGGCAACACAAGACTATGCCACTAGACCTCCCTTTTCATGACAAACTAGGGAAGAAAACACATAATCAAATGTAACAAAATGAAACTGTTGGCAAAGTTAAATATCTATTTACCAAAAAATCCTCACCACGGGACCAAGAGGCCCCATCATGACGCATGGAGAAAAGAATGAAGTTGGCAATGATTTCATCTTGGCTCCACAATCAACACCCACGGTAACAGCATTCAGGAAATCAAGAGAAATGTTGTTACACTGAGAAAATCTGTTGTCAAGGATCTCTCCAAAGTGTTAGAGTAAGGATTTCAGTTTAAAGACTAAGGTGCACCTGATCCAAGCCACAGTCTTCTCAATTACCTCCTATGTCTCTGAAAGTCAGATAATGACTAAGAATGACAGAAAAAAGAATCAATTGTTTTGAACTGTGGTTTTGGAGAAGAGGACTGAATATCCCAAAGACTATCATAAAAGAAGTCTGTTTTGGAACAACCAAAAGCTCCTTACAGGTTGGTAAAATTTCACCTCACATATCATGGGCATGCTAGGAGATACAGGCCTTGGAAGAAGACCTTACACATGGAAAGGTAGAAAGAGAGGAAGACTCAAAAAAGATTGACTGACACAGTGATTATATCAATGGGCTCA